CCTCATACCCAGGTGGCTGCGTCATGTACACCTCCTCCTCTAAAATCCCATTGAGGAATGCCGTAGATATATCAATTTGAACGATGAATTTCCCACTAACGCTTGCATCTGCGAACAAGACACGGAGGGTAGGGGGTTTGGGAGTGGGAGCAAGGATCTCATTGAAGTCCCGCTTCTCCTTCTGCATAAACCCCTTAGCCACCAGCCTACTCTTGTAGATGGTGACCTGTCCCTTGTCATCGGTCTTGATCCTTAGCACCCATTTGCACTGTACTGCTTTCTTCCCCTCAGGCAGCACCACCAGCTCCCATGTCCCATTCTCTAGCAGGCTCTGGTATTCAGCATCCCTGGAAACCAGCCACTTCTCCCTATCCGGTCCAACTAATGCCTCCTCCATGCTAGCTGGTTCCTCTGGTGCAGGGGTAAGAAAACAGTAGGCAGGTTCATCCTCCTCATCTGGATCATAGCCATGCGGTAGAATCAGCAATGCCTCCTCGGTCCCAAGCTGCTGCTGTGCTACATCAGCTCCTGCAGTCAGCTTCTTAGTAGCCATACGGGTACGTCCTGGCCTGGAGACGGGTGTCTCCCATCCCTTCATAACGACACCCTTCGGCTTCTTAGTTTTTCCCTGCTGCTGCTCTCTCCCCTCAGATCCAGCAGCTCCACTAGTGCCAGTCTCCACATCATTTTCTCCACCAGCAGGTGCCTCCTGTACCTTCTTTCCATCACCACCCTCTGCAGCTCCCTCCTCTCCTCCTCCCACACACTAGGAGTCAGGTCCAGCTGCATGGTGATCTGCTCCATTTGCTGGGACACCCTGGCCTTCGACAGTTTCTCCCAGCTCCCATACATCATGCCCTCAACAAACTTCACATCCCTGCTGTCAAACAACACACCCTTGGAAGGTTCCCAGAGCAGCCATCCCTTGCTCTCAGCAGCCAGCCCCAAATGCACACACCAGATTGCACTCGCCCCCAACTTACTGCGGTAGGTCTTGGGGACGTGAGCGACTGCCATGCAACCGAACACCCTCAGCATGTCCACCGGCGGCTTCCTCCCAACCCACCTCTCCAACGGCACCCACGAGTCATCCCCAACCTTTGTGAGTACCCTGTTCCTAGCGACGGTAGCGTGCCGAACAGCATGGGGCCACATCAAGTTGCCCAGCCCAGATTCTATGAGCAGCGCCCTAGCTGTCTCCAGAATTGTCCGGTTCGCCGGTTTTGCTACACCGTTGGACTGTGGGGTGTAAGCCGTGGTCAGCTCTCTCTGGATGCCCTGCTTCTTGAGCCAGGCCGTCATCTCAGCTCCAAGGAACTCACCACCCCGATCTGTCCTAATCCGCTTCACCACACACTCCGCTTGCTTCTCCTCGAATGGCAGCCAATCGTCCCGAATTGTGGAGGTGGCGTGATCTTTCTGCTTCAGCGGATACGCCCACATTAGCCTGCTCCAGTCATCCACTATGGTTAGGAAGTACCGCTCCCCCTTGTGCCCTTGCACCGGCAGCGGCCCCACCAAGTCCATGTGGACCAGCTCCAACGGCTTTTTGCTCCTGCCAGCCACACTATGGAAGGGGAAACGGGTAAACTTTGAGAGCAAACAGATTTCACAATTCTCATCAGGTGGCTGTCCGTTCAACTTCAAACCCTTAACGGCTCCATCTTTCTCCAACTGCTTCAACAAGGGCATTGCCACATGCCCTAAGCGTCGGTGTGCCATTGCCCAATCCGTCTCCCCAGATCTGGCCGACACTTTCACACCAACCCCTCCAACGGCATTGCACTCCCCCTGGGATGCAGACCCCTCTCCAGCTTGCCCCCCACCGTGCCACGCCAATGCCGGCAGCTGCCACATGGATCTGTACACGTCCTTGCTCTCGTGCAGATCCCAAAGCACCCGATTGCCCAGCTGCCCCGTGTAAGTGCGTGCCCCATCCGTGTTAGTACTCACCCCATCCTTGCCAAGCTTACGGAGGGAGATGAGGTTGGCCTTGAGTTCAGGAACGAGGAGAACGTCATGCAGCACCACCGGCTTGCCATCCGCTCCCTTAAACGCAGCTCGTCCCGCACCAGCCACCTTCAGCGCGTGTCCAGAGGCGGAGCACACCTCGTTGATCGGTGCAGCTTGTACATGGTCCAGCAGGTCTTTTCGCGGCATCATCGTCCAAGCAGCGCCCGTGTCCAACACCCAATAATCCAGGGGGTGCAGCTCTGCTCCAACCTTGGCAGAGGCGTCTCCTTGCTCCCCCTGCTCCCCCTGCTCTTCAATATGGAAGAACTGGCCCGCGGTGCACTCCTTCTTCTTTTCCGCACTGCCGTTGCCTTTCGGATTGTTGTCGGACGAATCAGCGACCATGTTGGCGCCGTTTTTCTGGTTCCTCCGCGCGCCGCCATCCTGGTGACGATTCTGGGGGGTCCATGCATCGGGTTTCTTATAGCACAAAAACCAGGGGTGCCCTTCCTTCTCACAATACCACCAACCCCCTTTCATTTTGCCACCAGCACCCGACTTGCCCCCACGTCCAGATTTCGCACCGCGACCCCAACCGGTACCTCCTTGTTGGTCGTTGGAGTCGTCGTCCTTCTTTGCACCGCGTCCAGCACCACCGAAGCCACGTCCTCTGCCACGTCGGCTTCCTTGCATCCCATAGCCGCTGCTGCCGTCGTCTCCACCCCTCAGTTGGCGGCGACGGAAGTCCTCCTCCAGAATTTGTGTTCGCACCCACTCAAGTGTCCACGAGCTCTGGTTCTGCGGCAAGCTCAATCCGCTCGTGAATTGAAGCCACGATTTTGGCAGCAGCGAGAGCATCTTCAGGCACTTGGTCTGCTCCGGGTAGGTGATTCCCGCGGTCGCCAGCTTCGCGTAGAGATCACACATCTTGCCCAGGATAGGTTGCACCGGCGCTCCCTTGCTTAGGCGCAACGCGGACAGCTCCCTCTCTATCATGAGCGTCGCATGTACGGAGGTAGGGGCGTGCAGCTCCTTCACCACGGTCCACGCCTTCGGACCGCACTCAACCTCCGGCAGCAGGTGCATGACGTGGTGACGCTGGTTCAGCTCCAAACTCTGCGACATCAAATAGAAGCCAGCCGAGGAGCGCTCGTCCCAATCTTCCTGCAGCGCGGGGTCACTCGGTCTAGGCTCCTCCCCAATCATTAGTTTCAGCAAACCGATCTGACGGAATTAAAGTTGCATTTTCCAGGCCCAATCATCATAGCCCTCACCATTGAACTTCTCGACGGTGAAGTTTTTCAGCACCTCCTTGATCAGCGAGCCCTGGCTTGTTCGTGCTCCCCTTGGCGCAGAAACACCAGAATCTTGGCTGCCGCTACGATCTTGGGCTGAAGATTCACCAGCTACTGCCGAGGTGTTGCCCGCCATAGCTACCTATAACGAGGATCACTATAACGCAGCTCTGATACCAGCTTGTTGGTGTAAGGGCCTAATAAACTCAAGCTATTAAGACTTTATCACACTTAAAACCTCTCCTCGGGGTCACCTCCAAGGGTACTTGGGTGCCTGGTACAAGACCAGCCCCTATCCTCGGGTCCGAGTTTGTAGAGAGAGGGATCAAGAGGGACTTAGTCAAAACAGCAAGAGTACCTTGAACGTCGCGCAGCGTATCGTGCAGACCGTCGACCGGATTAAGCTGAGAATTTCCTATATGGAAGCTCGCTCCAAGAGCTTTAAAATGAACCAAGTTGCCTCGCGAAAAGTTCTGCCATTACGAAGTTATGGCTCGGACAGCGTTTGCCTAGCGTTGGAGTGCTAGCGTACTAGCGTTGACTCGGGTAGCATTCCGCCGTCGCACCGCGTAGAAAGGAAATTCCAGCAAGGAAGGAATTCGCTTGAATCAATTTCACTATATCCAGGTACAAACAGAGAAATAATAAATAAATCTAGCTAGCATGGACCTTGGGAATAAACCTGGGAACAACCAAGGATGATCCCAAATAATTCCAAGCAACAGAACCAACCTGGCTGGACAAAACAGCAGGTGGTAGGTTGGTAAACAACCTCTGGTTCTGTTTTTCCAACCCGGGAAAACAACAACCAGGTTCAGGTCCTAAAAACGGAACCTGTTTTGTCTTTGCCCAACCAGCCAAATGCTGGTTCCGCTGGTTTCCCCTGGCCCTGTAGCATCCAGATACAGACAAACAACATCCAACCTTCACCTAAATTGTACCCCTATAGTGCCTGCCCTGCTACACTATAGTCAACCAAACAAAACAGTACAATTTCGAGTTGGATAGAACTGAATCTGCGCAATCAAGTAAGCCGAACCGCAAAGCTTCCATCTTGGGTTCCTTTGCGAGCTCGTCCTTTCTGCTTGTACTGTTCATAGCGCGTACAATGTTATGCCGAAGCGCATAATGCGTGAGTACCTGCAAATGCTTCAAGCGAAAATTGCGAAAGCAAACAAACACACGAACATTCCATTCAAACCCAAATCCATTCGCACACGCATACTCGTACAAAGAGACGGCAGGATGTCGTGCAATGTGAATTTGCACCCAACACTCTCACCTGCCCTCCACCCTCCACCCTCTCACCTGCCCTCCACCCTCTCACGTGCCCTCCACCCTCCACCCTCTCACCTGCCCTTCATCCTCTCACCTGCCCTCCACCCTCCACCCTCTCACCTGCCCTCCACCCTCTCACCTGCCCTCCACCCTCTCACCTGCCCTCCCCCCTCTCACCTGCCCTCCACCCTCTTACCTGCCCTCCTCCCTCTCACCTGCCCTCCACCCTCTCACCTGCCCTCCACCCTCTCACCTGCCCTCCACCCTCTCACCTGCCCTCCGCCCTCTCACCTGCCCTCCCCCCTCTCACCTGCCCTCCACCCTCTCATCTGCCCTCCCCCCTCTCACCTGCCCTCCACCCTCTCACCTGCCCTCCCCCCTCTCACCTGCCCTCCACTCTCTCATCTGCCCTCCCCCCTCTCATCTGCCCTCTGCCCCCCACCTGTCATCCGTTCATCTTATGATTCCTGTCACATGCCAGCATCTGCCGTTACACCCTCTCATTGCTGCACCCTCCGCTCTGCTGACTGTTTGTGTGCCATCAAAGTGTGTCGTGCCACATGTCTCACCCTCACGGCTGCCTGTCACCATGCCCGCTCTGCCCCTCCTCTGCCTGTGACCGTGCCGGACTTGCAGCAAGGCGCGATTCAACTTCCTCTCAGGCCCGCTGCCCTCCGCGCTGGTTTCGCTGCCCACACTCTCCAACCTATACTGCCGCTATCCGTACTCATCTCCCATTCCCTGTACACCTCCAGTTGCATGCCATTTGCTCCTTTCCTCCTTTCCGCTGCTTGCTTCGTGCATCCGCCCTACAATGTCCGCATGTGCCCCAACCCGATGCCATGTTGTGTTGCAAGGCATGGCACTCTGCCCCGCACCACGTCACTGACCTGTCTCTCTGCACCCCACCCCCCCCATCCCCCCCCCCCCCCCCCCCCCCCCCCCGCGTGCTGCTGTGCGGCTGTGCCCCCCCCAGCGATCTGGCCTACAACTACCTCACCGGCACCGTGCCGGTCACGGTGGGCGCGGCGCTCAAGTCACTCTACATAGGGGGCAACTTCCGGTCGGGCAGCATCGGCACGCTCACGGGCGTGACGTGCTCCGCGGCACTCAAATGCCTCACCTCGCAGGGCAGCTGCACAACCGGCGGCGTTCTCAACCGCGCCGGCTGCAACATCTGCGGCAGCGCCAACACGCAGCGCACTCTGTTCAGCAACGGGCTGTGCGTGCCCAACGCCACGGCGGCGGTGGCGAGTAGCGAGACGCCCACGTTGTCCACGCCCATGATGCCCATGTACTGCACCGGTGTCACCATCAACGCTGCTGCAGGTGATGCCCTGCTGCCTTGCATGACTGCCATGTGCCACGCCACCACCATGCACGCTGCTGCTCATCAGCCGTCATCCATAGTCAGTCACACCGCTGCCTCCCCTCTTGTCACTCTCTCTGCCCTCCGACCTCTGACTTACCCATTTCGCTCCTTGTCCTCTGCACCTTCCCCTCACCCGTACCTGTCTCGCTGTGTGCCAGTGACGGTGCTGGGCAACATAAAGACGGCTGCGTTCACGGCACTGCTCAAACCCACGGCAGTGCTCAAACCCAAGGCGACGGTGGGCAGCGGCAGTGTGGCGCTGACGGACTAGACGGTGACGGGCGGCTACTGCACGGTTGAGGGGCAGGCGCCTGTGCCCAGCTCGTGGTCCGGCGTGCTCTGCAACTCCCTCGGCCAGCCCGTCAACCTGTCAGCACCCTCGCTCCCTCACCCTCTGCTGCTCTCTCTGCTTCCTGTTGCATCATCTGCTTGGATGGGCGCATCGTCTGTCTCGCTGTCTGTCCCCGCACTGGTGCTTGCGACCATGGCATCACATAACCCGCCTCCCGCTGTGCTGCCCCTCCTGAACCCACTGTTGCAGGAAGCTGGAGAACCAGAAGCTCACCAGCTCTCTGCACGCTGACATCAGCAAGCTCTTTACGCTCACCACGCTGTGAGTGCTGCCCACATTCTGCTACTCTATGCTAAGTGCCGCCCACATTCTGCTGCTCTGTGCTGAGTGTCCCTCCCCCTTTGGTCATCTCCTCCCCATGCCATGTGTTGCTGCCGGGCAGGGATGTGAGCTTCAACTTCTTCCGAGCCAACATCGACACCTGGGCCTCGCCCCTCAAGCTCGCCACCAACCTGCTCTCGCTGTGAGTGCTCTGCTCAAGTGCTATTGCTATGAGTGCTTTGGTGAATTGCGCTTGCTCTGAGTGCGCTCTAATGAAATGCTATCTCTGTGAGTGCCTTCCCAACCTGCTACTGCCGGGAATGCATTGCTTGCCACGATGCAGTCCACATTCACCTCCTCTCTCTCCACTCCTCCCTGCCCCTCTCTCTCTCACCGCCCTACGTGCAGTCGCCTTAACAACAACTACCTCTTCGGCTCCGTGCCTCTCTGGCTCGTCTCCTTTGCCAAGCTCACCAACTTGTCAGTGCCCCACTCTAACCCACCCTGCCCAACCCTGCTCCACCCTGCTCCACCCTGCCCCACCCTACCCCACTCTGTCCCACCCTGCCCCACCCTGCCCCACCCTGCCCCACCCTGCCCCACCCTGTCCCACCCTGCCCCACCCTGCACCACCCTGTCCCACCCTGTCCCACCCTGTCCCACCCTGCCCCACCCTGCCCCACCCTGCCCCACCCTGCCATTCCCTGCCCCACCCTGCCCCACCCTGCCCCACCCTGCCCCACCCTGCCCCACCCTGTCGCACCCTACCCCACCCTGTCGCACCCTGCCCTTGCCTCCCGAGCCATCCTCATGAACCCTTGCCACTGCTGTTCGCCCCTAGTCTCGTGCTGTTTGCCATCTGCTTTCCATGCAACCTACCCTCTCGCTCCGTACTTATTTATCTGTAATCTATTGTTCACACCCTCGAAGTGCCTTTTTCCTCCCAATCTCCCTTCTCCCTACCTGCAGCAAGCTGAGCATGAACGAGCTCACTGGCACGTTCTCCGCACCCATCTCCACGGCACTGAAGTGCCTCATGGTGGATCAGAACTTCCTGGGCGGCACGTTCCCGGCCAATAGCGCGACTTACAGAACGGCGTACTACAACTGCATCACCACCTACACCACGTGCCCCGCCGTCTACCCCCAACCTGCCGCAGCCCAGCTACGGGTGCCAGTTCTGCGGCACCACCAACGCGTTGGGCACGGCGTGCATGGGCAACCCGTGTGTGCCCGTCACGCCCACGCCCATCACGGCGATCAACAAGTGGAACCCCGTCCCCGTCATGCGCTGCGACCCTGTGCCCGTCCAAGCACCCAAGGTAACCCTTCCACGCCAACCTTCCGCTGCTGTGGCTCCTCCGCTTCTTGGCTCCTCGGCAGGAGGGTTTGCTGGGGGGGGCTGCTTAGCTTATTGAGTCACAAGGATCTCCACCTCTAAAACGCCCTCTCCCTCACTCGCTTTTTGTTTGAACCGTTCTCCCAACCGCAATGGCCACCCTTATGCACAAAACCTCCTGCGCTCCTCTCCTCCCCACGGTGCGTCGCAGCGGCGACGCTGGTGGCGATGGCACCGGGGCTGTGCAGACGTGCACCATAGCGGGGCAGGCCTACATCCCCGGCACGCTGCCCCTCGCCTTCTGCAAACCCGCCGGCATGGTCCTCGACATGTACGTTCCCCTGCTCGCCCCTTTGCTCCCCCCCCCCCCCCCCCCCCTGACATGATCTAAAGCTCAAACGCCTGTTCGGTTTGATTCCAACATGTTCAACTGATGTTCGTCATTTTTTTGTGGTTACGCGTACAGTGTTAGCATCTAAAATGGCATGCCAAGCTGGCGAACCAAAACAATATCCTGAGAGTTGGGTCTAGCGCGCGGATTAGGTTTAGCTTAGTAGCGGGAGTCTATTAGCGTCTGAAGTGAGGGTGTCTTTGCTTGCGTCAGATTTGTGTGTGAGGCCTTGTTGGGTTTGGGAGGTGCATTGCGGTACTGTGGGTTTTGGGTGGTGTAAACTGGTTGGGCAAACTTTGCGAAATCACTGCTGCGAATGGATTCCAACACAGATCAGATCGAACATGTGAAACGCGAGAATCTGCGAACAGTTTCCCACACCACCGATTGTGTTTCCCGTCAGCGCAGGATGAAAAATCCTAACACAAATACCGTACTGACTGTGTTTTCCGTCATTCTCCCACCGATTTTGCGTTTTTTTCACCAGCTCTCCAGCCCTAGCAATGTCTAGAGAGACTTTACGAACCGGACATGTTCGGGTTCGCCCCGAACAAGTGATGTTCGGATAGTCTGTAAAGTATTCGCACATGCAAAACGAACCTCGAACACACCTCGAAAAATATTCGGCCGAGCCGAACATGTTTGGTTCGGCCGCAAGACATGTTTGGCAACGTTCGGCGGCCCAACCATGTTTGAGTTCGCCCGTGCATTTCAAACTTGAGTGCTTGCGACGGGGGTGCATGCCCCATACCCCATGCCCCATGCCTCGTCCCCGTGCCCCATGCCCCATGCCCCGTGCCCCTTGCCCCATGCCTCGTGCAAGCACCATCCCCCCTGGGCTACCTTCAAAGCCGGCAGATGCGCACATCATATCGTGCGCTCACGCTTCTGCCCTCATTTCCTATCACACATAGAATTGTTGGTCGCAAAACGCCACTCGGAAGGCTGACCCGACCTTGACGAGGCCTTCGCGAGGCCTTTACGCGACCCTGACGGGCTCTCGGCTCGTTTTCTGCTTCACGTGCCCTTCACGGGGCTTTCACGACCTTCACGGGCCTCAAACAGGCTCTACATCCGAATTCTGCAGACCAGGCCCTTTGCGGGGCCTTCACGGGCCTTTGACGCGAGTTTCACGAAGAAATTTCAAGTCACTGGGCTTAACTTAGACAATACAGAACCTTGACGGGAATTTCTCTCCAACACAAGAAAGTTTCGATCAATCAGGTTTGAACACAAATTCCAACTGAGGGATTTCAATGTGTTACTTCAACAACCTCGTACAACAAATATATAGGTCCAACCAAGGTACACAAATGAGCTAGGTAACCAAACGTGTCCAACACGTTACGTGGCGCCTCGTTTCACCCCGCGTCGCACACGCAACCTTTCTCCACCTTCGTCGAACGCGCGTGAAGTCCGCATTTGGTTCCTTGCTGAACACGCCACAGTTGACCCACACAATTTCTCCCCGTCAAACCCTTTCTTCCCCTTCTAGCCATTTCTCCCCCGTCACTTCTCCTTCACTCCTATTTCATCCCCGTAGACCATAACTTTGTTAGAGACTAAGGACGGAGTCTACGAAGATTAGGTGCCTAAATTTCTCACAATCGTTGGCTTAGAATTCTGGACATAAACGTCGACTTCACAAGAAACACCATAGACGAATATTGCACCGTTAAAACATCACCAATTTCGGATATGATCTGGCTCTGGTCTGTGGCTATAATTTCCAATTTGAATCGTACAAAAAGGTGAAGTATTTCCTGAGTTATCAATTTCGGCGCACTATGGGGTATGCTGCCATAGAATCTTAACTCACAAGAGTCTCACAATTTTACACAAGAAAGTTCGAGTAGCACTAAACCAGGTGGGAAGGGAGAGGAGGACGAGAGGGAAGGTCCCCAAGGAGTCCCCAACCATGGAAACCCCATAAGCACACCGAATCCCTTCCCTATAGGAACCCCACTTTGACCTTTGTCGCTTTCCCAACCTCCACAATCTACCTCACCCAAGTTGGCCAAACTTGCCAACCCAATTTGGTTTCTCCCAACCACTTGGCAGCATCTACAGTGATGGGGACGAAATTGCCCAACCCCCAAAAGTCTGTACCCCTTATGGAGTCAACCTCACAACTTCCCTTAGTCACCACAACCAAATATCAAAAGCATACGAACTTCAAATGTTCGTAACTTTCTTGTTCGTGCTCCGATTAAAGCAATACTTGGCTCGACGGAAAGCTCTTGAGCAGAAGAGTCACTTCAGATATCTGCTCAAGCCAAATAACATCCACACATACTCAGAAAATCCAAACCACACTAAACAGAAATTCTTGCACATGCTCACACCACGCATGCAACGCACGAACATATGATGGGAGGCAGACAGACGTGAATGCAGATGATAGCATCACATAACAAACTCCCCCTTTGGCTGCCTACCATCATCCCACATGCCATAGCTTAAGCATGCACACTCAATGCACACTCATTCCAGCAAGCTTCATCCCCTTCCAATGTTCCTCCAACTGTCATCATAATGGACAATCATCTCCTTCCAACATCCCACTTCCAACATCTCCTCTTTGCTCGGTTCTGCAGCACCCCTCTGCAGCCTCAGATTCACAGCACTATACACCAAACCATCTTATTGTAGCTCCATAGCAATACGCTATCTTATCTTCATCCATCTGTTCAGCCACACTTCCAGACGGTACCACACTTGGCGTGCCACGGCTCGCATAGGTCAGCTTGTTAGGAGGGCGCACATCCCTCCTAGGACGGTCAGACAAACGTTGGGTACGTGGTGGAGCATCTTACTGCTGCTGCTCCACCTCAGATTCTCCCCCATCCTCAGTCACTCCAGAGATCTCCTCCTTTGAGACAGCGACCTGCACTTGCCTCAAGGCCTCTGCACCTCATCAGCCTCAGTGATCAGCGGTGCAGTAGGAAGTTTCTGCTGCTGCTGCTTCCACTCCTTATAGTACAAGGATTCAAGGAACTTCACATCCCTTGACACAGTTAGCTGCTGGATGGTCAAGTCCCATATCAACCAGCCCTTGTGACCCCTAGCAAGCCCCAAGTGCTCACCCCATCTCCTACAAGCCTCCAATTTTCCCCTCTTCTCCGTAGGCTCTCAGCATGTTCACAGCTGGTGCACCCCCATACCACTTGGTGTAGGGAACCCATTGCTTGTCCCCTACAGTCGCCAGCTGTTGGGTGCAAATTCACATTGCACAACATCCTGCCGTCTGTTTGTACGAGTATGCGTGTGCAAATGCATTTGGGTATGGATGAAATTTTGGTGTGTTTGTTTTCTTTCGCAATTTTCGCTTGATGCATTTGCAGGCACTCGCGCAATGTGTGCTTCGGCACAACATTGTACGCGCTATGAACAGTGCAAGCAGAAAGGATGAGCTCGCAAAGGAACCTAAGATGGAAGCTTTGCGGTTCGGTTGAATTGATTGTGCAGATTCAGTTCTATCCAACTCGAAATTGTACTGTTTTGTTTGGTTGACTGTAGTGTAGCAGGGCAAGCACTATAGGGGTACAATTTAGGTGAAGGTTGGATGTTGTTTGTCTGTATATGCATGCTACAGGGCCAGGGGAAACCAGCAGAACCAGCACTTGGCTGGTTGGGCAAAGACAAAACAGGTTCTGTTTTTTAGGACCTGAACCTGGTTGTTGTTTTCCCAGGTTGGAAAAACAGAACCAGAGGTTGTTTACCAACCTACCACCTGCTGTTTTGTCCAGCCAGGTTGGTTCTGTTGCTTGGAATTATTTGGGATCATCCTTGGTTGTTCCCAGGTTGATTCCCAAGGTCCTTGCTAGCTAGAGCTATTTATTCATTCTCTATTTGTACCTGGATATAGTCAATTTGATTCAAGCAAATTCCTCCCTTCATGGAATTTTGCTTCTACGCGATGCGACGGCGGAATGCTACCCGAGTCAACGCTAGTACGCTAGCACTCCGACACTAGGCAAACGCTGTCCGAGCCATAACTTCGTAATGGCAAAGCTTTTCGCAAGGCAACTTGGTTCATTTTAAAGCTCTTTGAGCGAGCTTCGATATAGGAAATTCTGAGCTTAATCCGATCGACGGTCTGTACGACACGCTGCGTGACATTCAAGGTACTCTTGCTATTTTGACTAAGTCCCTCTTGATCCCTCTGTCTACAAACTCGGACCCGAGGATAGGGGCTGGTCTTGTACCAGGCACCCAAGGACCCTTGGAAGTGACCACGAGGAGAGGTTTTAAGTGTGATAAAGTCTTAATAGCTTGAGATTATTAGGCCCTTACACCAACAACAATAACCATAGGTAGCGTGTTGGGCTGAATCATGTCGCGCAGTAGCTTCGACGCCTTCGGTCCCGAATCATCGAGCTCCACCAAATCTCTGATGTGCTGAAACATGTCGTTATTGACCGACTGGAGGATGAGGTCATACAGCATCACGCTCTTCTCAATCCACTGATCGCGGGCATCACCTTCATCCGGCATCTTCTCTTCACCTATTGCAAGTTTCAGCAGCTTGTAGTGCTTAAACGTACTCCGCATACGCCCGCTCCATTCCTCATAGTTGGAGCCATCCAATGCCTCGATCTTGGATGGTGGCGGCTCCCTCTTCTCAGCTGCATTTCCACTCCCTTGACTCATCTCCTCTGCTCCCAATCACAGGTTTCAGCTCCCCCCTTAGCTGTCCACAACGAAGTCCCACAATATTTCCACAAGCGTCGGCGCCAACGAAATTTCGGGAGAGTTTCCCCTTAGCGGAAGTCACATCCAACCTCCAGAACTCCACTTAGGCACGCCCAGAGGCCATGGTGGGTCTAGGAGGGTCTTCACACTTCAGTAGATACTCCACAATGTCCTTAATAAGCTCTGATACTTGTTGGAGACTAAGGACGGAGTCTACGAAGATTAGGTGCCTAAATTTCTCAAAATCGTTGGCTTAAAATTCTGGACAGAAACGTCGACTTCACAAGAAACGCTGTCAACGAATATTGCACCGTTAAACCTTCGCCAAATTCGGATATGCTGTCCTCCACTCCATCCCGCACCGTTCCCTTTGTTGTTTCTGCTCCTCGGTTTCTCCGCGCACTCAAAAGCACGGTGCCCCATGTTTCCATACTGGTAACATGCTCCCGAGCTCCTTCCAGCGGTTGCCGCATTCACCAACGCAGGCTTCTTGTATTCCATAGCCTTGATAAACTTCTCCTTTCGCTTCTGGTGCTCTCGTGCTCGCTCCAACGCCTAAAGCATGACAATAAGCTTTGTCATGTTTTCAGGTGGGTGGCAGATCAATGCTGGTCGCTCACCCGACCAATCCTCCGGTAAACCGTTGACGATGTGCCCTATCATCGCCTGTTCGGTTTCCGGCTCCCCCATCGCAGTTAAGTCGTCGTTGTAGCTCCTTGCCAAGTTGACGTAGTCGATAATCTTTTGATTCAGCTCCATAGTCATCAACAGCAACTTTTTCCTCACTAACGCGATGTTTGCGTCCATATGACCGAGATATGTAGACTCCATGTACGCCCATGCCGCTTGTGCACAGTTCTCGCGCTCTGCAAATTCGTCCATGCCCACTGCAATCCCTTCAGCAACTGAATGACATAACTGAAAAAACGCATGCTTACTCCTCTTCTTGTACTCCCCCTTTTTTTGTCCGATCTCGCCTTACGGGCGGCTGCGTCACCTTCTCCATCCGGTCGGTAGCACTCCCAAAATCTGACTTCCTTTGCCCACCTTATGAACTTCAATCGCCATGTACTGTAGTGTTGTCCGTGGAATCGTTGGGCTTCACTGCGCCCCATGGTGGGCTTCGTCACCACCCCTCCTTGCGCCAGCATTTCCAGAAGTGCCTTCACTTGGGGATCTCCAATACTCACAGAGGAGCCCGAACTAGCTTTCGATTGTCCGCCAACCATCTTGAAAGCTTTGCTATGCAATTAAGAATGCTAAAACACCACTTAAACCAGCTCTGATACCAGCTGTTGGTCGCGAAACGCCACTCCCAAGGCTGACGAGACTTTGACGAGGCCTTCGCGAAACGCCACTCCCTAGGCCCGCAGGACATACCGGCGCTGTACTGCAACGCACAGGGCGCCGTGGTGGATCTGTTCGTGAAGCAGCGCTTTATGCGCGGCGCCATGCACCCCAACATCTCCAAGCTCTCCGCCCTCACCGCCCTGTCAGCGCCACCACTCCACTCCTCCCCGCCATCATTCATTGCCACCACTCGTTGCAACGTCAATTCCCCTGCAAGCCCACGTGGAGGCTCGTCCACCACCGGCTCAACCCACTGTTCTGCCGCCCGCTCATGCCTGCCACTCCTCCTGCCACCTTCCCCCCCTCTCCGCTCCGCCTCTCCATGCACGCCCTGCAGGGACCTGTCAAGCAACTTCTTGGTGGGTCCCTTGGACCCGTTCATCTCACCCCTCACAGGCCTCACCACCCTCAAATACCTGTACGGGCTCCGTCCCTTTGCGACCCCGCCTTGGCCCACATTCTCTATTCCCGCTCTTTCCCTTCCCTGCCACCCTCTCTATCATCCCATTCTTTCCCAAATTTCTGGTACCTTGCCCTCGACATGCCTTGTTCTCGCAGAGATCTGCTTAACATAACCTCTGTGTGGAGATGCACCGTGCTCCTCTCTGTGCTCCTCTCTGTGCTCCTCTCTGTGCTCCTCTCTGTGCTCCTCTCTGTGCTCCTCTCTGTGCTCCTCTCTCTGCTCCTCTCTGTGCTCCTCTATGTGCTCCTCTTTGTGCTCCTCTCTGTGCTCCTCTCTGTGTTCCTCTCCATGCTCGGCTGCTGTGCCGTGTTGTGTCATACTGTGCCGTGCTGTGCTGTGCTGTGCTGGCCGTGCTGTGTCGTGCCATGCCGTGCCGTGCTGTGCTGTGCTGTGCTGTGCTATGCCGTGCTGTGCTGTGCTGTGCTGTGCTATGCCGTGCTGTGCTGTGCTGTGCTGTGCTATGCCGTGCTGTGCTGTGCGGCAGGGTCATGAGTTACAACTTCTTCTCGGGCTCGCTGCCTGCCACCATCTCTGCCATCAAGAACCTCTACATGCTGTGAGCTCTCTACACTGCCTCTACATGCTGTGAGCCCAATGCCTTGCCTCTACATGCTGTGAGCCCCGTGCCTTGCCTCTACATGCTGTCAGCCCCGTGCCTTGCCTCTACATGCTGTCAGCCCCGTGCCTTGCCTCTACATGCTGTGAGCCCCATGTCTTCCCTCTACATGCTGTGAGCCCCGTGCCTTGCCTCTACATGCTGTAAGCCCCGTGCCTTGCCTCTACATGCTGTGAGCCCCGTGCCTTGCCTTTACATGATGTGAGCCCCGTGCCTTGCCTCTACATGTTGTGAGCCCCGTGCCTTGCCTCTACATGCTGTGAGCCCCTTGCCTTGCCTCTACATGCTGTGAGCCACGTGCCTTGCCTCCCACCACAACCACCTTCAAACTCCGTGCGCCTTCCTCTTTGAACGCCTTGCCATGCCGCTCCATGTGCCATGCCACCGCACCCAACCATCGCCTGTTCTCGTCCCCTTGTATCGGATGTGTGTGCATGGTGGGCGCAGGAGCGTGGGGTGGAACTACCTGACGGGGTCGGTGCCGGTGGTGGGCGCAGCGCTGCAAGTGCTGGATGTGGAGAACAACTGGCTCATCGAAAACTTCCCCTCCACCACCAACTGGGCCTTCTGCACGGCGCAGGCCAACTGCTTCACGGACCCCACGCCCTGCAAGAACAACAACAACTAGGGCATCACTCAGCGCCCCTCCTGCGCCATCTGCAGCAACACGGACGCCACCAGCACGCTGTGCAGCAGCAACGTCACGTGCCAGCCGGACCCCGCTGCTATTATACTGCCACCGCCGTGCCCACCCCCTCCACCCCCGTGCTTGCCCTCACCTGCCCTCCCATTCCACCCGTCACCACTGACGCCACTGCCGGTACGTGTGCAGCTGGGCCTCGTGCAGCTGGCCTCGTGCAGCTGGCCTCGTGCAGCTGGCCTCGTGCTGTTGTTGGTGGAGGTGCAGTGGCATGGCACACACGTGTCAGCATGACCCACTACATGGCACACATGTGTCAGCATGACCAAGTGCATGGCACACACATGTCAGCATGACCCACTGCATGGCACACACATGTCAGCATGACCCACTGCATGGCACACACGTGTCAGCATGACCCACTGCATGGCACACACGTGTCAGCATGACCCACTGCATGGCACACACGTGTCAGCATGACCCACTGCATGGCACACATGTGTCAGCATGACCCACTGCATGGCACACATGTGTCAGCATGACCCACTGCATGGCACGCATGTGTCAGCATGACCCATTGCATGGCACACACGTGTCAGCATGACCCACTGCATGGCACACACGTGTCAGCATGACCCACTGCATGGCACACATGTGTCGGCATGACCCACTGCATGGCACACATGTGTCAGCATGACCCAGTGCATGGCACACATGTGACACCATGACCCACTGCATGGCGCATATGTGTCACCATGATCCACTGCATGATGCTCCCACAACACTGCCAACGTGCAATCGCATGTGTGCCCCACGGCCCCCATGCACAGCATCAGCGTTGATGAACGTCAAGACGGCGCTGGGCGTCACCGCCACCGACTGGGCGCCTGCCTCCGTCTGCACGGCTCTTGGCAGTTCCGGTGGTGGCGGCTTCACCGGCCTTCAGTGTGACGCTCTCGGCAACCACGTCAGGATGCGAGCACCATGCACCATGCCTTGCCTTCGCCATTCATGTCTTTCTCTTCCTGTTTGTATCTTTAAAGCGTCTCCCCATCCTGCTCCCACCCTTGACTCTGTCGATTTTCTGCCCTCCTTCCCATGCCATCTCCCTCCCCCCCCCCCCCCCCCCCCCCCCCCACCTCTCCCCCCCTGCACTATTACAGCTCTCTAAACAGTCAAAAGCTGTTTGGTATTTTGCATGCTGACATCACCAAGCTCACAGCCCTCACGTTCATGTAAGCACTTCCATTCATATAATCACTTCCATTCACGTAATCATTTCCATTCATGTAAGCACTTTAATTCATGTAAGCACAACTTCTGCATGCCCAGCCATATGTTAACATGAGTGCTACCATGCTCACTCATTTCTTCCTGTCTGGCAATGCACAACTACTCTTCGGATTGGGATCCTACTCTCGCTCACCTTCCTCTCCTCCCTCCCCCTCCCCCCTTCCTCTCCTCCCATGCGCATGGCACTGGGCGGGGCGCTGCAGCTCACTCAAGTCAAACCTCTTCAAGGCGCGTATGGACGAGTTGCGAGCAGGATTCTCTCGCTGCCCAACCTCGCAGTGCTGTGAGTCATTGCCCAACCTCGCAGTGCTGTGAGTCACTGCCCAACCTCGCAGTGCTGTGAGTCACTGCCCAACCTTGCAGTGCTGTGAGTCACTGCCCAACCTCGCAGTGCTGTGAGTCACTGCCCAACCTCGTAGTGCTGTGAGTCACAGCCCAACCTCGTAGTGCTGTGAGTCACTGCCGAACCTCGCAGTGCTGTGAGTCACTGCCCAACCTCACAGTGCTGTAAGTCACTGCCCAACCTCGCAGTGCTGTGAGTCACTGCCCAACCTCGCAGTGCTGTGAGTCACTGCCCAACCTCACAGTGCTGTGAGTCACTGCCCAACCTCGCACTGCTGTGAATCACCTCGCGCCCTCGCGCTCTCACATGGCGCTGGCTTCTCTGCCTTTACCAGTGGGAGTCGCTGCTCATCCCACAGCACCTTTTGCCTTTCCAGCTCACTTAACACTACATATTGCCGTGCTGACTTACCCACTCCCTTTGCTCGTCCTCTGGGCTCCGTTATGTGTGTTTATTGGCCCGTGCGTGTGTGCATTGTGGCGTCTGTGGGTATGTGCGTGTTGGTGTGTGTGTGTGGGGGGGGGGGGTGGGATATGTGTGTGTGTGTGTGTGTGTGTGTGTGTGTGTGCACGCGTTGCTTGCATGCGTCTGTGTGTGTGTGTCTCCTGCAGCCTGCTCGACTTCAGCTGGTTCTTTGGCAGTCTGCCTCCTGCCCTCGTCGCCATGCCCAAGCTCACACGCCTGTCAGTCGGTCTCTAAGCCCCACTCCCCATCCCCCCAGTGCTTCCCCCCTCCTTTCAAACCCTTCTTTTATCAATCGGATAATCTATCTATAAGGTCTCAAGCCATGAAATTGCTTGGCATATCTGCGTCCATCCATCGTCTCTCTTACCTTCCCTCCTCTCCGTTTCCCCTTGGCCTTCCATGACCCCCTTGTCCTGCTGGCGCCAGAGGCTTGTCATACGACTACCTGACGTACCGAGTGCCACCGGTTGCGGCGGGGCTCAAGGACATCGACATGGGGTTCAACTTCCTCTCTGGCTCCTTCCCGGCCAACTCAGCCACGTTATGTGGTGCCAACAGCAACTGCTTCCAGGCCGCCACCACGTGCACCACCAAGGGCACGGCGCAGTGCATCACGGGGTGCAACTTTTGCAAGTCCACCAACGCGCACGGCATGCTGTGCTATGGCCGCGACGTCTGCACCGTCAACACCTCCGTGCCCTTCGCTGCCGGCATGCCCAATGCTTTCGGTGCCGCCACGCTGCCCCTGGCTTGCGTTAGTAAGTGCCTGGTGCTGGAGGGGGAAGGGGGAGTGCGAGAGAAGAGGGGGGAGAGGGGGGGGGGGGGAGGGGGGGTTGCTGCTGCTTTTGCTGCTGTTGCGGGTGTACGAGAGAGTGGCTCTGCCATCTCAGCGATTACTTTTTCATGCAACTCATTCTCAACCCTCTCCTCCCTCCTTTTCCCCTACGCACTATTGTGTGCGTTTTGTGTGTGTGTCTGTGTGTACGTGTGTACAGACATTGTGTGCGGCTTTGCCTCGCCCGTCATGTGTCCCAACGACTGGCGCTGCACAAATTTGCAGTGCATCATGAACTTTGTCAATTGCATCGGCTACCTCTGCGTGTAGATGCTATCCTCTACTCGCATGCTAGACGCCTACCTGCTTTGCCGCAGGGTTGTCTGCTTTACTGCAGATTGCTTGACCTTCTATACTGCTGCGTATTTGCTACAGTGTTCGTTTGTTTACATCAATGCTATTTCGTTTGCTGTAGTGCTGCTCTGGTATGTGTTGGCTAGTGGCCTCAGATGATTGGAATGCCAAAATCTGTAAACCCGACTTTGCAAGGCAGAGGTGGGCAAGGGTCAATGGAGAAAGTGAGGAGATAAGTCTAAAAATTTGACCAATGCATGCAGCTCACGTTCAAGTGGCATGTACTCATAAAAACGTGCATCCCGGTTGATGGTGTAAGCGAGAGAATGCATGAACTAGCAGCAAGATGGGTATAAGTACCAACCCTTATTTGGGTTGTACCTCATATGGTCTACCCCACAACAGCCTACACAACATGCAACATATAAGTTTGACACACTCCCATAGGCAAAATGGGGGAGAACAAGAAGTCACAAGACCAGTCAAGAAAAGCAAAGCAAGCTTTAGGTGGAGAACAAGCAAATGGCCACAAGGCCAGTTCACATGCAGAGTTATATAACGGAGAACAAGCGGACAGTGATCAAAGCCTAGCAAGTGTATGTATGCAAGCATAAGCATATAGATCACATTACAAGCAAAGTCAAGAAGCTAGCAAGTGAGGCTGAGAAGACACAATGCCTAAAACAGTACAGAACCGCTGATGATCACAAGGCTAAAGTTAAAGTGCCTTGGTGAAGATATCAGCAGTGTTGGCCCGAGAGGCCACGTAAGCAAGACGAAGCTGACCACGCTGCTGAAACTTTCGGGCAAGACAGTAACGTAGAGCGATGTGCTTCGTCCTGTGCTCCAGTCTGTGCTCCTGACACAAGGCAATGGTGGCCTTGTTGTCGACGTACAGAACTAGAGAAGAGCGAGGCGGCTCTCCCAAGTTGGTCAGCAGGTTGGTGAGCCAACGTAACTCCTGTGCCGCCATGGCCCCTGCGTAGATCTCAGCCTCACAACTGGAGCTGAGAACAGAAGACGAATGTGTAGACTACCAAGAAACCGAGCCGGAGTCAAGGCTGAAAGTGTATCCCTGTGACGACCGCTGTGTAGCCAGATCGTTAACCCAGAACGCGTCTGAGTGTCCAATAAGGACACCTGGACCCCGTCCTCCAAGCACGAGCCCCATGCCCGATGTACTGCACAAGTAGCGCAACATCCTCTTAGCGGCCTTCTAGTGCTCTAGTCGGGGTCTTCCAGGCGCAGCGTAGCATGCCAGGATGCTAAGAGGGTATGCAAGGTCAGGTCGAGTGCAGGTCATCAGGTACATGAGGCAGCCCACAAGCAGTGGATACAGGCCACTCGGCTCTACGGACTCGTCCAAAGGTGGAGCTGAGAGCGAGTGGCCAGTAGGCAGAGGAGAGGACTGTGGCGAGCGCTGAAGGACCTTGTGCACTATATTAAACAAAGTCAGGGTGATGGTGCGCCGTGCTCTGTCCTGGGTGATCTGCAAGCCAAGATAGCTGCACAGCTCACCCAGGCCTGTGCACGTGTGTCTCTTCTGCAGCTCCGACTTCACAAGGGCCAGTACCTCAATGTCAGCAGTGGCAAAAACAAAGTCGTAGACGAGGATGTAGAACGGCGGCAGCGAAGTGTCAGTGCGTAGAAACAGCGACAGGTCAGCAGTGGAAGGAGCAAATTTAAGAGCCACAAGTGTTGTCCTCAGTGTGTCGTGCCACTCACGAGGCCTCTGGCGGAGAACGTAGACTTGCCGCCGCAGGCTCCACTGGGTAACTGTAGGAAACGACTCAGTGAAGCTAGGTGGCCGACGCAGCCAGGTCTCCTCGTGCAGGCTGCCCTGTAAGAAAGCTGTGCTAAAGTCAAGAGAGTGAAGCTCATAGTCACGCTGAGCGGCGACGTGCAGCAGCACCTGAAGAGTGGTTATCTTTGGGGTTGGGGAGAAGGTATGGAAGAAGTCAACTCCTTGTCGCTGACTGAAGCCTCGTGCAACGTAACGAGCCTTGAAGGCAGGCGGAGAACCTGGCGGCCGCCTCACCCTGAAAATCCACATGCCATCGACTATGTTCACCCCAGGAGGGAAAATTGCGTCAACGTAAGTGCCTGTGAACTTCCAGGATGCCATCTCTGCGTCCATGGCTGTCTGCCGCTGAGAGGAGTAGGGACCCGTAATCGCCTTTGCGTAAGACCGCGGGGTCGGGATGTCTGGTGCATCCAGGTCTCCCTCAGGTGCAATCAACATGGACACGAGATGAGGTACAGCTGCTGTAAGACACTCAAAGTCCTCCTGCTTGTCCTCAAAGACGTCCGTGCTAAGAGCACACTCACCCCCGACGGACGGAGGACAGACAGACTCAGACTCAGCAACAAGACTAGCGGCGTAGTCGAGACAACAGGCGGTAGGAAAGTCAACAAGCTCAGCAACTAGGGCGGACGCAGTAGTGAACTTAAACAAAGGGTCAGTGACAGTGGTGGCCAGAAGACGTGTGACAATAGGACTAGCAGAACGAAGGAAGTCAGACTCAGGGTCTGGTCCGTCAGCAAGAGAGGACGCAGGAGGAGACGGCAGGGGGACACGCTGCGGTACAGAGGAAGCACAGGAGTAGGATACTGACGCGGAACACGAGGACCAGTGCGAACAGCACGAACAGGCGAGGCAGGACGAGACGAAGGCTCACAATGCTCTGTAAGGGAGTCTGACTACCCAGTGTAAGGAGAAGGAGCAGGCAGTGGGGAGTCTGGGTGTAGCTGTGGCTGCGACTGGTCAGGCGGTGGATACAACAAGGGAGGAGTAAGGCTAGTAGGAGACAGGAGACTAAGAACCTGGCGAAGTGCCGAGCCAGGTGGCGGCAGAGACGACGGCGACGGCGGAAACAAAAACAGTCACCGCTGCACAGTGCCTCCAACACCAATACCGACATCTCCAGCAGCCGCAGCGCCAGCACCTCCAGCTCCAGCACCCCCAGCGCCAGAACCTCCAGCTCCAGGGTCTCCACATATAGCACCTGCAGCACCACCAGCTCCAGCAGCTCCAGTACCTCCAGCAACTCCAGTGCTGCCAGCACCTCCAGTACCTCCAGCAGCAGTAGCACCACCAGCTCCGGCAGCTCTAGTACCTCCAGCACGAGCACCTTTAGAAGCAGCATCACCACCAGCTCCAGCAGCTCCAGTACCTCCAGTACGAGCACCTCCGGAACCAGCTGCTCCAGCACCTCCAGTAGCAGCACCATCAGCTCCACCAGCTCCAGTACCTCCAGTACGAGCACCTCCTCGACTAGCGGCTCCAGCACCTCCAGCACCTCCAGGACCGGCAGCTCCAGTGCCTCCAGAGCCAGGGCCTCCAGCTGCAGGCCCTCCAGCTCCAGCAGCACCACTCCGAAGGCTCCAGCGCCAAGCAAAACCACTAGCGCAGCTGCGGTGGAGAGAGAGGCTCCCGCCGTGACGAGACACCCGTAGGACCTCCAGCTCCAGTGCCTCCAGCTCCAGGGTCTCCAGCTCCAGCGCCTACAGTACCACCGGCTCCAGCAGCTCCAGTACTTCCAGGACCAGCAGCTCCAGTGCCTCTAGCTCCAGGGCCTCCAGCGGCAGGCCCCCCAGCTCCAGCAGCGCCACTCCGAAGGCTCCAGTGCTGAGCAAACCACTCGCGCAGCTGCGCTGGAGAGAGAGGCTCCCGCCGTGACGAGGCACCCGTACGACGACCAGCAGACAAAGTACCTACAGGCTCAGCATGCTCAGGCTGAGCACCCCAAGGCTCCAGACGCTCAGGCTCAACACCCCCAAGGTCCGCACCCTCAGACTCAGCAACCCCTGGCTTAGCACCCCAAGGCTCAGCACCCCCAGGCTGAGCACCACCAGGCTCCGCACCCCCAGGCTCCGCACGCTCAGGCTCAGCACCCCCAGACGCAGCACCCCTAGCAGCACCAGAGTCGACAGCTACCTCGACAGGCTCGACAGGGTCTACCTGGGACACACCTGAGGGAGCAGGACCCTGAGGGGGGAGGGGGTCTACCGAGGGAGGACCTGGTGCAAGGAAGAGCGGCCGGGGGGGGGGGGGAGAGGGGCAGTGCGGTAGGGGAAGAGACGGTAAAAGGGAACCGACTCGTCAAACTTGACGTCTTGAAAGGGCAGGACACGGCACGAGGTGGGGTGGTAAATCTGCCAGCCTGGCGCGTCAAGGGGAAATTTCAGGAAGACACAGGGAATGGCGCGGGAGGAGAGCTTGTCCGCGGAGGTATCGCGGACAAAGAAACGAGAGCCCCAGACCCAGAACACCGGCACATTGCCAACCTCCCCTATCCAATGCAGTGTAGGCAATGTCTCCGGCAAGGAGACATGAGGCCAGAGGTTGAGCAGATTTGCAGTGTATTGGACCACAAACGGCCACAAAAAATGGGGAGCAGCCGCATGGATCATGGAGCTGCGAGCGACCTCCATGACTAAGCCAGTGTGGTGCTCAGCAATCCCATTTTGCTGCGGGAAGGCCGGAAGCGTGAACGACTGGAGGATGCCCTCCCCACGACAAAAGTCCCGCTAGAGGTGGGAGGAGAACTCACCACCTCTATCAGAGTGCAGAAGCAGGACAGGAAAATCCTGGCGGAACTGCTCGCGGAGCTGGAGACGGACAACGCGGATCCAAGGGATCAAGACACTAGGGACCCCGTGATGTAACGCGAGTAGTCGTCAACAACCAGAAGAATGTATCGCTCGCGGTCCTGTCCACGGATGTGTGCTGGGCCCTACATGTCCATGTGGAGAGTCTGCAGGGGAGCAGTCATCGGGGGAAACTAGGAGGAGTAAGGAGCGGCGCGCTGCCGCCCCTCGACGCAAGGAAGGCAGGGCGGGGCAGGCGAGGGCGGGAGGGGTGGCAGTGACCTAGGAAGACCAGGGATAAGGAGGCGGGTGTGCAAGCCACGGAGGCGTTGCAGGGAGGGGTGACCAAGGCGGTGGTGCAAGAGGAGAGTCTGGTGCGAGAGGAG